TGAAACAAGACAACAATATTCCAGCATCAATGGACAAAAGATTTGTAGATGAAACAGCCAACTGTCAAAAGCAGAGCCAAGTTCCTTCAAGACTGTCATTCTTCTAGCAGTTTTTCCAGCCATTCTAGACAATTTGCTGGCCCATTGTGTATTTCAGAAACAATTATCAACCCAAAGAATTGAATTTGTAATAGAAAATGACCTTTCTATACCAAAACCTAGCTTTTCACTTTTTTTTAAATATTACTAAGAATTTTCTCTCACTTCTACTGAGGCAAAAAATACAATCAGACCAGGCAAAAAAAGGCTACCAGCAGCATAACTGTCTCGTGCCCACTTTGAGCAGTGCCTCAAAACACTGAAATATAGAGGCTCAAAAATTCAGCATTTCTCACCACATTCCATTAACCCAAAATCTGAATAATGGTGGAGTCCATTGCCATCTTGGAATCCTGCTTTTGAGCCCTGAAAAAGGTCTTTCTGAGGTTATTTCATCTCGGCTTCCCTTACCATTTGCAAGAATAGAAAAAGGACTTTTCAGATTGATTTGGGCCGGGATCCCTTGATAACTGAAGCACGTTGTTACTATCTCACTCATATTAGCTGTTCTAGGATAAAATGAGGTTAGAATCCAGGTTCTGGTTCTGTATGGCTCAAGTCCACTCTAGCCGATAGTTTAAATCCTGTGCCATCAGGAGGTGTGGGACAAAAGTAAATCTTCCAAATTCAATTTTCCCCTTACAGTAGCAGCTATAATCCTGGCAATTAAAAATAAGTGTCATATCTCATTGTTGAAACATCTCAAAACACTTAACAGGATTTACTGTCGAGTGAAGTGACTATATATTTGTAGGCGAATGCATCAGACAATTTGAGAACTGCAACGTCCCACGAACAGCCATGGAGTGAATGTTGATCAGGGCACAAGGAGACCCTTTTTTTTTTGAATAGTGCCTCAGCATCTTTAGCAAGACCTGAACAGACAAGACAGGTGGGACCTCGGTTTCATGTCTCTTCTGAAGGACGACACCTACGACAACGCAGTACTTCACCAGGACCACAATGGAGTGTCAGCCTGGAATAGTAGTGGACAACCTGTGGCCCATAAGCCGGAAAAGTCAAGATAAGTCCTAGATAAGCAAGCCAAAATAGCAGGGCAATCCTGCCACTGTATAAATCATTGGTGAAACCATACTTTGTGTACTGTGTCCAGTTCTGGTCACCACAGTACAAAAAGGATATTGGAGAAATTGAGAAGAGGGCAACCAAAATGATTGAGTGAATGGAGGGACTGGACTATGAGGAGCGACTAAGTAAATTGGACATGTTCACGCTGGAAAAGAGAAGATTGAAAGGCGACACAATTACTGTCTTTAAGATTCTAAATGGGCAAGACAATATAGATCATGACAGGCTGTTTTAACTTGTCCAGAATAGTAAAACCAGAGGACATGGCCTGCGAGTGAAGGGGGTGAATTCAGAACAAATCTGTGCAAACACTATTTTAGTGAGCGAATAGTGAACCTGTGGAACAGACTCCCTAGGGAGACGGTTGAAGCAGGAAGTGTTGATTCTTCCAAATACAGATTAGATAGCTTTCTTGGTGGCATCATCCGCAGGGGTCAACTTCCACTATTATGCCAATGACACCCAACTCCATCTCTCTGCCTCCAATCTCGACTGCAGGACCACTGCTGTCCTGACAGAATGTCTATCAAATATCAAGTCCTGGATGAAAGCTAACTTTCTATAGTTGAACGTCAACAAGACCGAGACTTGACTATGCAAACTCCCTGCTTGTCGGCCTCTCCAACTCTTCCCTCCATAGGCTGCAGATCATCCAGAACACTGCAGCCCGTGTCCTCACCCCCACCAGGCTCCGTGACCCTATCACCCCCAGCCTCGCCCGACTCCACTGGCTTCCTATCACACAGAGCATACAATTCAAGATCCTGGTCCTCACCTTCAAAGCCCTACATGGTCTTGCTCCCCCACTACCTCTGCGACCTCCTAACCCCCTACCAACTTGCCCTCTCCCTCCATTCAGCGGGCTCAAGCCTGCTTCACATCCCCTGCTTCGCCCACCCAACCATTGGCAAGTGGGGTTCCAGCCACTCTGCCCCCACCCTCTGGAACTCCATCCCGCAGTCTCTCCACCTTACACCCTCCCTTGCCTCCTTCAAGAGCCATCTCAAGACCCTCCTCTTCAACCATGCCTTCAATCACCCTCCTTCCCCCCCTGAACCTTATCCTCCCCAATCCTGACCCCCAGCTCAGGTCCAAAACACTGATTATGATAATAATCCTTGCACTTGATATTGCGCTTTTCACTTCTTCTAGACATCTCAAAGCGCTTCACAGAATATACTATAAAGTGAATTGACTGCATATGTGTGGGCGAAACGCAGCAGCCAATCGCGCACAGCAGTGACCCACAAACAGTCGTTAATTGAATGACCAAATTATTATTGCTTTTTTTGAGGGATTATTATCCCCGGAAAAGCGATCTGCCAATCGACTAACAACTGTGTTCCAGTTACTGCTAAGTAAACAGAGGCATGTGGAGTAAGGAAACTTTCCCAACATTTCGCCCTGATTGACCTGCGCCTTGGGATGCCCTTCCAACATGAAAGAAAATATACAATGTAATTTTGTTGTTGTTTTCTTTTAGGAAATAACATTATGGGATATAGTACATCAGTAGTTTGGGACATATATCCATGCCAGGAAGGAGCAAGGCGAACTAGATAGACTTTGGTCTTTTTTCGTCTAGCAATTCTTATGTTCTTAAGCCCCTGTTTGATCGGTAGTGTATTTTCATTTTTTCTTGATTGAATATTTCTTGGTTTATGGCAATAAATATTCAATTAAGAAAATATACTGTATTGGCCGACTGTAAAGGATGTATACCAGTGGCCCCGAGTCTGAACTCCTAGGACAAGTAGCAAATTGAAGCTAGTTAATAACCACTGTGTGAACTTTATATGCTCTTATTTAGTCATCAAGGAAAACAGGGATTAGTGGGCATCAATTTTACTTGGAGATGTAAACCAGATCCCTCATTCTATTTATCACCTGATAGAAACTTTTTTGACAGAGGTAACACAGTCAGTCTAAAAACTCACAATCCATCACAGCCTAAGATGTCAAAAACTTAAAAGTGCCTAATTTTGATTTCCTCTTTTCATTTAATATCACCTCCTTCCAGCTCACTTTCACTCATATCTCTCATTAAAACTCACTCATTAAAAACAGTTTTCAATTTTCCACTTACTCTTTAAACTCAAACATCTGATCCAATGATGTTAATGCATAAGTTCATTTATATATCCCTGCTGCTCATTTTAGCTCTCTGGAATTATCATACTTCTATTGACAAAAATCACTCTCCTTCACCTCTATTGCTCCCACAATCTGGAGTTAACTCTTCATAGTTTTTTATATATAAAAGTTCAAAGGATTAAAATCAAATCTATGAACATAAATTCCTCTGTGAAATCATCATTCTTGGCAATATTAATATTAATATTCAGAATTGACACTTATCCCTGATCTACCCAGGATTACTTCCTCACCAGCAATCCTAATGGCTTTATTCTTTTGCTCATCCCTGGGATCTTCTGACCAAGTCTCATTTCTGTACTTTGTAGTCTTCGGTCAAATAGTGAACTTGCTCAGCACAATTTAATTAGCTGACTGGGATCGTCCTAAAGATTTTTTCACTGTTTTTACATGATCCAAATGTTTCTTCTACCCCTTTTATGCTTCTGTCTGTGCCAGTGAAGTGGCCAATATCATCCCAACTGGTAATGGAATATTTCATATCTCATTCTTGTCTGATCAGGCACTTGGTTTAATCTAAACTGTTGTATCGCATACAAACTATGCCCAATAGACCTTGCGTGCCAAACTCTGCTAAAAGCTTACAGTTTAAAAAAAAACAATATTTCTCCCTTTAAAGGTATTTGGCTCTCTTTTGTCTTTATACTGGGGGTTCTATGCTACTGGCTCTATTAAATTTCCAATGCTTCAGGAGAGTACTGTATAGACAGCAAGCCCTAATTTATAACACTGGGTTCAATATCTCAGGCATAATAACCATGTATGATAAAGTGGCCAACGTCTGAAATGTCAGGTTGCCACTGAACTTGGGCAGCATGAAGGAAATGACATGAGCAGTACAAGAAAGTCACATGAGTAGCAATCTGACAACCTGAAAATCAAACATGTTTTCTTCATGGCAGGATGGCAAAACAAGGTTTTGGGGGCTTTTTGGTTATGGTTGTGGCAGCAATGGTGAGGATACTGACATTTAACTGACTTTAATCTAAATCTAGTATTAAATTCAACATACAAACATGTCTCAATATTTTCACAGTTAGTTTAAGTGTCAATTCAGCTATGAACATCATAATGAATTTATCCTCTGAAAACATTATCATATGAAAAGAACGTGAAGTACCTCCTCCTGATTATAGCAATTAAGTCTATAAATGGGGTTATTAGAGTCATTGTCCATGTATGAATATATTAACATTGACCTTTCAGGTAATCCTCTTAATCCTTTCATTCCTTTTGTAATTGGGGCATCTGATTTGCTTTACATTGCAGTTTTGCCATACTAATGGAGCTAACACAAATCTAAACCTGCATTATTCCTTCTTTTACTCTGATAGAAAGTAATGTTTTCCCCAATAATCTGGGGTATAATAAAGGACTTCACGGTACTTGGTAAAAGTCTCATTAGTTCAGAGGAACTACTATGTGATGTATATTATATTCTAAATTTTTACTTTAATATTACTCAGAAAAAACTGTTACGCTTGTGTTTAAAACAACAAAATGTTTCCTTTGTGATTGCCATTTTCTTTCAAACATTTAAGCCAAATGAGGCAATTACTTCTTCAGCACTTTTGGGGGGAAAAGAAACACAAGACAATCATTTATAAACAGACCCAGAATACGAAGCAAAACAGAAAGCTTAATCATTATCTACTTACAGCACTGGCATCTACATCACTGTGAATTGCAACAGTTTTGATGCCCATCTTCTTACAAGTATTAATAACCTACAAAAGGAATAGGAATAGATATAAAACATTTCACAATTATTACATTTTCAAAAAGTTTGTTAATGTTTTCCCTCTCTCTGCCTTCTCCCATTTCAATGTCACTATTGAACTGAAACATACAGACCAAAAGAATCCCAGGTTTGATCCCCGTACCACATCAAGTTATACGATGTCTTATGCAGCAATAGTCAAGACACGAGTATTTTTGTACAAAGTGTCAAAGGACTGGAAATTTGAAATGAGAACAGGAATGCTGGAAATGTTTATTTCATGTGCTGTAAATATTCAAAATTTTCACTTGGTAGTGTAATCTTCTGTTTGTTGTCATCAAAACATAGGATCTGCTCCATAGTGTAAATGGTATGAACTCTACAACATTGGAAAATCCATTAGTAGAGTAATCTCTCATTGAAAATGAGCTCCCTAGCCTAGATAAGAGACAAAAACTCATTTCAGTCACAAAGCATTATCGAAAGTGTGGACGTTCGGTGGGGATGGGATCAGACTTAGTTGTGTTGCCTTCATGGTTAAACAGTTTGTTGAAACTCACTATTTGAGCCACTTATGCAAGTGCTCATATAGCGCAGTACTCATTCAGTCTCATCACAGTCCACGTCAAAACTTTCAGTCCAGGAGCTAAAATTTGAAGTGTAAATAACAACAACAAATTAAATTTATGTATCGCCTTTCCCGTCGGGACGATGTCCCAAGGCAGGGATTTGGACCCAAACAGGGAGGTGGGATGAGGAGGGATGGAGGACAGGGAGAGTAGGGGTAGGAGGGTGGCCAAAAGTGCGGTCAAAGAGGAGGGTCTTCAGACATGCCTAGAAGGAGGCAAGAGAGGGAGCAAGGCGTAGGGACTGTGGGTTGGAGTTCCAAAGGGTGGGGGCAGAGAGGCTGGAGGCTCGATCACCAACGGTGGGGTGGGCCAGGCGGGGACGTGGATCAGGTTGTTATGGTGTTAGCGGTCTCAGAGGTAGGAAGGAGCAAGACCGGAGAGGGCTTTGAAGTGAGGACACGGATTTTGAACTCTATTCTCTGGGAAATGGGGAGCCAGTGGAGCCAGGCGAGGGTGATGGGGTCACGTAGCCTGGTGCGGGAGAGGAAACTAGCAACAGAGTTCTGGATGGTCTGTAGCTTGTGGAGGGAACAGTTGGGAAGGACGACAAGCAAGGAGAATCAAACAACCATAAGAATCAAAATCATCCCCCACACACATCAGTGGAAACAATCTTTCGTCATTTCTGCTGAAGAAATAGGCTTTACTTCAATTATCAATCCTAACAGATTATATTTTTAATTTTTAATTCTGATGGGTGCCTTATTAAAGGTTTAATGAGCGATTTTGTTAGGAGGTCAACAGGTGAGCAGATTGATGAGGTCGTCAAAGTGTTAATGTCAATGATTGAAATATTAGAGCTACTTTCATGTAATCCTCCTGCCCTGATTATTTGTTTTCATAACTGCTGTCATCTTAACATTAACATTACTAACATTACTAATCTTCTATTATCTCTTCAGCCGAGAACGTTATTCAGGAATTTATGGAGCTTAGAGGTAGCTGGGCAAGAAAATGAAAAACATTTAAAACACTAAAAATTTATATATACATTAATGTTTTTATCTGCTTAGTCTATTTAAATACACAGTAGAAATTTTAACAACAACATCTAAGATTTAACTATAGGCCATTTGTGGATGGATTTTTTAGGTAACTTGTTGGCTTGAGTATTAACTTTAAGAAGCAAGGTAAAATTTTCATATCAAGTAAATTCTTTTTTTCTTTTTCCAATTTTCTCTTGTAAGTGCTGACTGCAGCAAGAATGCAGAATCAGCAGCGAAAGCCCTATAGGAATCTTTAATGTCCACCTGAACAGGCAGACGGGTCCTCAGTTTAACAGATGGCACCAGCCATTCTTTACAGGTTAACCTGGACAGCAAGATTTGAAAGGCTAAGTGGTCAAAGACGGCATCACAGACAAGCCCTGATCAGGGTGGCAGGGGCAGAAGGTTCAAGCCTCAGATCGGGATTTTGAGCTCACAGCCCAGACTGGCAGTCCAATGCAAAGCTAATGTGCTACATTGCCAAAGGTGCCATCCGTTAAACTGAGGTCCCGTCTGCCTGTTCAGGTGGACATTAAACATTCCCTGACACTGTTAAAAACAAGAGAAAAGAGTTTCTCCTGGTTTCCTAGCCAACAATCCTCCATGTAAATTTGTCATTTATTTCATAGCTGTTTATTATTGTGAATAATAAATAATATTCCTCATATTTGATGTAGTACCTTTCACATAAGGAGGACATTCAATGTGCCTCATATATGTTATTGAAAAGTAATATGACTGTGTATGTCATAGGCAAATATGGCAGCCAATTTTTGCACACCAATATCCCACAAACAGTCACAAAGTGAATGACAAATTTTATTTAGGGAGGGATCATTGGCCAGAACACTGGGAGAAACTCATTTCATCTTTTGATTGGTCATGGCATCTTTACGAAAAGACCTTTCTTTTCAACCGCACCTTTGGTCACCTTCCTCCCCCTCCCCCTGGCTCGGCCCCAGAATCCGTTATTGTAAAGCGCTCTGAGACATCGTCTGGGTGGAGGGCGCTATATAAATTACAATTTCTATTTAAAAACGTATCTTTATGAGAATTGACAGAATTTGGTGTCTTCTGTAAAATGGGAAGGTCTATGGAAAGCTTCTCTTTTAAACACACAAAATTGATATTGCAATGCTGATGACTTAGCCTACAGAGAATTGATTTTGACATGGACTTAAATTTCTCAGACACATTAGCTTTGCCAAGATACAAGCTCTTGAATGGAAATTAAATGTTAAACCTGAACACAGGAGTAGTTTTCTAGATCTTGGACAAAAATACCTTTTGACTAGCAAATCATTAATTGTAAAAGAACATGACTTACCCGGCAGGCAATTTCTCCTCGGTTTGCAATAAGAATTTTGTCAAATGTCTGCATATGATGAAAGAGGGAGAAAAAAGATGCTTTAATAATTGATGAACAGTGACCACTGGAAAGGGCATTAAGCACACAATGATTGCAAGGCAATATGCACCAATAAGATTTTTCCAAGGCAGGAAAATTAATATCAATATATACTTTTCTGATCTGCCCAGAAACCACAACATAAAGATGAATCAGAATAAAATAATCATTCTCTAATTGGTGCTGTGGACAGCATAATCACTGGCACTGCTATTCTGCTGGTCTGTCAGGTATTTAATTTTTAGTTAAAAACCAATGCATTTTGAAAGAATCACATTTACCCTGCAAGTGCTGTCTCTTTCAATGTGAGTGAACTGACAGATGAAGCTGTGCACCTCCACCCACCTCCAATTTCACTTTCTTTCACATGCAGCGGATGGATGTTATAGCTACAAGAGGCCACCTATCGCATCTACTGAAGATAGCACAGCCAGCCTGGATCATCAGCAGGATCTGGAAGGGCAGACCAGTCACTGGGGGCAGAGAATTATCCCATTCAGCTCTTGTTAACCCTGCAAGCAAAAGCCTTAACTGGTTGGTCCTAGCTGGACAAGTAGCAATAAAGCTTGCCAGACAGTGATATCAATGGCAAGCTATGCAGAGTTATCTGCTTAGACTTCAGCAGTACCCAAACACACACTCTAAGGTCCCCAAGCCTTTGCTCTTGCCAACCTGCGCCTAATACAATTGGTGAAGGGGGGGAGTCATCAGTCCTTTATACCCACCTTGAAGTATAGCAGCCACAAATGCTCAATTTGTACAAAAAGTCAGAAATAATACAAACCATATTTTATAGATAGGTCATACATTTAATAGTGTAGATAAATGAGCTGCAGACAGTGCCCTGAAAATTATTCTCTAAAATGTTTGCACCCTCACAAATCCCTATCAGTTTCTGAAGGCAATGAATTGTTCTCTTCCGCAGCTTCAAAACCCACCCGATGACCCATCTTTTCAACTATATTCAGGCAGTTGTCTTCCCCACCCCCCAGGACCCTGGTTCGATTCCCAGGCGGGGCAAAACCTTAGGGAAGTTTCTCTACTCCACACGCCTCTGTTTAGCTAGTAGTAAGTAGGCAGCCAGTTGTTATTCGATTGGCGGATCACTTTTTAGGGGTAATAATCCCTCAAAAAAAGGGTTGTCTTGTCAATCAATCCACAACTGTTTGTGGGGCACTGCTGTGCGCATTTGGCTGCCGCGTTTCGCCCACAAAATACAGTCAATCCACTTTACAATATATTCTATGAGGCACTTTGAGATGTCTCAACAACTGATAAGGTACTATATTAAATGCAAAGATTATTTTTACTATTTTGGTGAGAAGAAAGTTAGGTTCAGCTGACACTCATTGCACAGGCTTCCACATGTAGAATAACCACTTGGGACGAGGTACTAGGGGTCAAATTCATAGAAATGGAATCAGTGTCTTCAGGACAGACAAGAGAAAAATCTGAAAAAATACAAAGATTTGTAGGACTTACTGACCCTCATGTGGCCTCAACTACAATCCTGACTGAATGGAATTTTGTTTAATATCCGGAGATTTGTTATATTCTCTGGACTTTCCAAGGGCATCTTTCGTAGCTCCAAGGCTTTATGTGGGGGGTCTCTATGTGAAAGATTTATCTGTTACTACTCGTGGCAGAAATAATAACTATATTGCCTTTTGTCCATTTGTCCAGTGATCTCTGACTTGATCTTGGATAGATAATTACAGTGATTCCTGCCTTTCCATTTTACGTGTTGCAGTCTTCCCCCACACATTGCATTGAAATGCCAAAATAAAGTTTTAGAAAAGTTAACAATACAATTGTTGCTTGTACTTGTAACAAGTACATGTCCTGGGCCAATAGAAAAGTGCAGCTGCAATTTTTCTGCGGAACCTGCTATAAACCCCCTCTGCTACAAACCCACTAACAGTGAAGTTTCTGTCTCAGGCCTCTCGCGCTGTTTATCTGAAGCAACTGTGGGTGGGGTGGGCTCCGGATACACATGTGCGGTGCGGCACAAGCGAGAAATGAGCTTTGCTTCACTCGGAGACACCGCAGTTATGTGTCTGTCTCTCCTCTGTGTGTTTGTGAGTGTCACAATGCAAGTGTGTCTGTCTCTCTCTGGATTTGTGAGAGCCTCTATATCATGCGTTTCTCTCTCTCTATATGTGTTTGTGAGGTTCTCTATGGGAGTGTGTGTGTCTCAATCTCTATGTTTGTGAGTGTGTCTCAATCTCTATGTTTGTGAGTGTTTCTATGTGAGTGTGTGTGTGTCTCAATCTCTGTTTGAGTCTCTATATGAATGTGTCTGTCTCTGTGTGTTTGTCTTTATGTGAGTGTGTCTCTCTCCTCTATGTGTTTGTGAGCGTCTGTGTGAGTGTTTCTCTTTGCTCTGTGTGTCTGTTTTTGTGAGTTTCTCGGTGTGAATGCATCCGTGTCTCTCTCTCCTCTGTATGTTTGTGTGTCTCTTCTATGTGTGTGTGTGTTTCTGAGTGTCTCCATGTGAATGTCTATGTCTCTCTTTCATCTGTGTGTGTGTGTGTACGTCTCTTTTATCTATGAGTGTGTATATGTATCTCTCTCTCTGAGAATGTGTGTGTATCTCTCTCTCTCGGTCTGCGTGTGGTGTATCTCTCTCTGAGAAAGTTCGACCCTCAACTGTCACTTCTCCCCCACATCCGTGGCATTACCTGCTCAGCCTTCCCCCATCACCGCAACATTGCCCAATTCTGCCACTGCTTCAACCGTCAGGCTGCTAAAACCCTCATGAATGCTTTCATTACATCCAGGCTCGACTACGCCAATGCCTTGTTTGTCAGCCTTCACAACTCTTCCCTCCACAAGCTGCAGATCATTCAGAACTTGTGTGCTCTCCCACACCAAACTCCATGACCCCATCACACCTACCCTTACCCAGCTCCATTGGCTCCTCATCCCTCAGAGGATTGAGTTCAAAATCCTCATCCTCAACTTCAAGGCCCTCCATGGCCTTGCCCCTTCCTACCTCTCCGACCTGCTAATCCCTTATCAATCTGTCCACTCCATGTCCCTTGACCAGCCTGCCCCACCATCGGCGGTCGGGTCTTCATCCTCTCCCCCCCACCCTCTGGAACTCCATCCCACATTCCCTTTGCCCCCTCCATTGCCTGTCTCAAGGCACGCCTCAAGACCCTCCTCTTCAACCGTGCCTTCAGCCATCCTCCTATCCTCTCTGCCCTCCACCCTCCCTGATCCCCCACCACTTTCAGATCCTAAACCCTGACTGTTCAGCTCCTTGGCACGTTCTCCCAACATGAAAGGTGATTTACAAATGTCATCTTGTATTGTACGTGTCTGTGAGTTTCTGTGTGTCTGTGAATGTGTGTGTCTCTCTGTCTGTATCTGCGCAGTGCCAGGCCCTGAGAGGCAGGAGGTGGTGAGCTCCTGTAGCCCTGCAGTCAGGACACTAGTCCCGAGTGTCATTTTTGGCAGATCTCCAGGCAGTTTGGGCCTGCACTGGTGTCCCCTCCTCCCAAAATGAGTTTTTGTTAAAGAAATTAATAAAAAAAATGCAACAATCTAATGTATTATTTCTTCATGTTGAGTTTACATCATTAAAGTGAAAAAATGTAGGTTAGCAGTAAAATGTACCTCAATAGCACCAATCAATTCCCCGGAATTTTCCCCTAAATTTTCAAATTTCCCCGCAAGTTTGGGGCAAATATTTTCACAGTTTTCTATTGGCCCACCACATATCCAACCCCTACAGTCTAAATTCTTTCCCCACAGCATAGTCCAGGACTAGAGTGATAATCTCACAGCACATCTGTTTCTGAACCCGCCTCTGAACCTGCATTAATCACAAATGTCTTGCCAAGTACTCAATTCAAAGCTGTACCTTGTTTGGGATCCATTCTAAGCAATGCTCCAACACATTGCACCACTGTGTGACAGAGCAAGGGGCAGACCCATGTTTCCCCACATGATGAGCTTCTCGTCTGAATCAGTCTAGCATAAGCTTTTGCAGGATGAGGCAAGTATTTCCTCATAGGAAAGAGGGAAAGAAGAATAAACTATACCACTGATGATTCTATTAATGCTTTAGCTGCTCAGATCCAAAACCCCCGATTGTCCAGCGTCCTAAGACATCTTTCCGACATGAAGGGCGCTATGCAAGTGTAATTTGTTGTTGTTATTGTATCTATTTAACCCTTAAGGAGTACCCCAAGACCTATGCACATCACTACTTTTTATTTCAGAATAAAAAATCTTAATCAATGATTGACAGGGTCATATTTCTGATGCCGTTTCAAGCCAAGAAAAGAGAAGAAATGACGACAAGAAATGACAGATGAGCACAGATAGATTTTTTCACAAATCTATTAAAATATACAATTTTGATATTTTTCTTTGTAGTTTAAGGTTACAATAGTAAAGCAATCCTGATGATTACTACTACTTTCATATAGCAAGAGAGATGATTATCAATGTTCAAGTAGTCAAATCCAAATTAGTGAGCCAGTGGGTTGGTTCGGAAGTGGCTTGGTGTAGGTCTGAGATGTCACTGGGGAGCGATCAAGCGGGCATTGATTTCAATGAAATCCATTGTCTTTTGTTTCTCAAACTGGAAATTATTATAAACCTTTTTGAAATATTGTGAATTATAAGGCACAACAAAACTTCTTTCTAAAATGTGAGTTGTTGTTGGACAGAGAAATATCTCTACTGAGTCTTTGTCAAAATCTTGTCATCAGTTTGCTGGATAGACAAGTTTAAGATCAGCCTCAAGCCGCATGATTCTCAGAGAGGGTTCGAGGACAAATGAAAGTCAGATTTGTAGACACGTGCCGAAAGCTTACCCAAGGTCAGGTATCAAACGTGTAACAACCCCTAATTAGATGAATTAGGCACAAGAAAATAGAACATAATTTTCAGAAGCTGGATCGCAGAATGACTGAGGCCCTTATAGGTCCTTCAAGGTCGGTCTCAAG